ATGGGAATATAAATTGATGACAACCCATAGCACTTATTATTATTATTATTAAATGTTACCTTTTAAAATAGGAGTTATTCAGAACTGGTTGACAGAAGCCGTTGTGATCAGTGCCACAGTCTCGTAATTCTGAGGCTGAGTGCTTGAGACCAGATTGCATGAGGAAGGGCACCTAGTGTGAAGCACTGGCACTGGTCGGGAATGACATCACAGGTATTGTGGGGAAACCCCCAAAATCCCGGATGTTAGACAAACAATTAACTAGCATGAACAATGGCCACCTCCAATGCTTTAGTCCATGTCAATCTCAGTGAAAGTGATGCCCCCAGGGTCAAAATCAACTTGGAATGCATTGAAGGATATAATAATACACATCTCAAGCTCTGGTAACAACGCAGGGGACTAGAAGTGTCCGGCAACCGTGATAAATTGATAAAAAGGTACATATGGTAATCCTGGTCTTTTTGGTGCTGATCCATGCACTTTGTCCCAGAGGCTAGCAAAAAGAGCACAGATGTCAGAAGATTTTGTGCATGATGCATGCCATTGATTTGCCATGTATTGAATAAGCTTTCTGCAGCAGACCTGATGAATGATTTTGCCAGCCACATAGTTTAATTTCCTTTGTTAGCTGGTGTTAGCTGTCAGCTTTCAGTTTTTTTACTCTATTCTTCAAAAGTGAAAATGCTGTTAAAAAAAATTAGGATCTAAGATCTCTTATTATCACAATCAATTTTTGGTGAGAGAACAGAAAGGAAATTCAAGTTTTCTCCAGTTTTGCTAGTCTTAGATAGAAACCCTTTATAGACTTGTTTCACACCACTCCAGGTAGAGAATGCCAGGATGGTGATGGTACTCTTTATAGCTTTGTATTGTCATCCTAAACATGTACACACATGTTCCTGTTTACATTTGTCCGATCGAAGCCAACTCAGCAAGAGGGTCAAATCCAATGATCACATTTTGCTCCCTGAGTAATCAACTTTGGAAACAGCATGAACGATTTAACTTGCATTAGAGGCTTGTCAGTATATTGGCAGTCAGTATTTCATGTTCCGTAACAACGCTTCTAGGAAACCTTTTTTTTTTGTGCCTTTTTTTATTGGCGAAAACCCTGACTACAGCTCTAATTTTATTGTACTCAAAGTTACGCTTGCCTGAGATCCGGGTACTTTATATGTGCTGGCGTCACATATTCTATTGGTTGTGTAATTTGTTTTTCCTTCACAGTGATATCCTGCACCAACAGCCAGTGTTCCTTGTGTTCTCTGACTTTGATTAGACTGATGATTAGTTGTGCATAAGTTGTGGGATTTATGTGGATCTAAGACTTCAAGGATTCAAGGATTCAAGGTTCTTTATTGTCATTGGCATCACATGTGGTACATGTGGTGGAACAAAATTGTGTATGCAGGGTCCCAGTTACATCCAACAAAAGTATAAAATGTAAAAGAAAAACAGTAATAAGATGTAAGATATGAACTAAGAAAAACATCAGCTAAATAATACACTAAGCACTAGTAGTATAAAAACAATATGCCAAACAGCAGCACGAACATGAGTCTGTGTGAACGGATGAGTACGAATGAATACACAGTAACATGAAACAGATCAGCAGCAACATGTGATTTTTTTCACAGTGATTATTCTGGTTAGAGATTCATGAGTCTAACAGCCTCAGGGTAGAAGCTGTTCCTCAGTCTAGTGATTCTACACTTAATGCTCCTTAACCTCCTTCCTGAGGGAAGCAGGGCAAAAAGTGTGTGTGCTGGGTGAGTGGGGTCCTTCATGATGCAGGTGGCCCTCTTCCTGCATCACAAGGTGTAGATGTCTGTGATGGTGGGGAGGCTGACTCCAACAGTCTTCTGTGCAGCCTTCACCACTCTCTGCAAAGCTTTTCTTTCTGCAGCTGTGCAGCCTCCATGCCACACGTTGATGCTCGAGCACAGGATGCTCTCCACTGCACACCTGTAGAAGGAGGTGAGGACTGAGCTTCCCAGACCAGCTCGTCTCAGCCGTCTGAGGAAGTAGAGTCTCTGATGAGCAGGCTGATAATTTTGTTGCCCCAGCTGTTTGTCATTAAGGTGCACACCCAAGTACTTGTAGCTGGAGACCCACTCTGCCCCACTCTGAGCCCTTGAGCAAGGCCCTTAACTCCCACCATCTGCTCCCAACCAGGTCTCTCTTGAAAATGAGTCCTCGTGATGCATTGAGACTATGCATATAAATAAAGGTTAATAAAAATTGAGGATAGGTTAAAGGTTTACGGTAATGGTTAGGATTAGGCTATGTGTGTGTGTGTGTGTGTGTGTGTGTGTGTGCGTGTGTGTGTGTGTGGGTGTGTGTGGGTGTGGGTGTGTGTGGGTGGGGTGGGGAGTGCGTTGGACCTGACATACATGACAAGATAGAGGCTATTTAATCCAATCAATTAAACACTTGTTAAAAAAGGTCTGTTACTCTTACAGAAAATGTCTTCTCAAGGAACCATGCAGCTGATTGTCTTACTCATTGTTTCCGTTTGAAATCATTCTGTTTGAGTGATGTCAGCAACGACGACTGAATGGAGACAACAAAACAAAACGGATAGGAGGCAAAAACGGCCTTTGTCAAACAATGACTGACGCATACTCTCTTTTAAGATGTTTTTTAAAGCAACTCTTTCTATAAAAGAACTGAGCTCGTCATCACTGTCATCAGGGAGGAAGAACTTCCTTTTTTTGACCCAAACAAAACAAATTCAGTGGGGAAATTGGAGTCAAATTGTATCTGACATTTATAATTAGAAATGAACATTTTGGTTCAAAAAGTTATAACTCTGGGTGGAAATTATCTGGATAAACAGCTTTGAATCTCTACCACTGGCACTGCTGGTGTACGATCCACTTTTAGTTATGGCTATAACAATCTGAGGATAAAGTAAATAAATTAAAGGAAACAATTTAGTAGGCGTCTTAATTTACAAAGTACATTTGAAGCAAACTATGTAGAATATTGTTTTAAAAAAAAGAAGCTCCCTGCCTTTGCAACATTGCATGGACATCGGAGGCAGTGCCACTGGATTGGCAGACTGGGGTGGTGGTTCCCCTCTTCTTAAAGGGAGACCAGAGGGTGTGCTCTTATTACAGGGGCATCACTCTCCTTAGTCTCCCTGGCAAGGTCTATTCAGGGGTAGTGGAAAAGTGAGTTTGATCTTTGGTTGAACCTCATTTTGATCGTTGGTTGAACCTCAGATCCAGGAGGAACAATGCGGGCTCCATCCTGGCCGTGGAACACTGGACCAGATCTCTACCCTCATTAGGGTCCTCGAGGAGTCAAGGAGTTTGCCCATCCAGTCTACATGTGTTTTGTGGACTTGGAGAAGACATTTGACAATGTTCCTCGGGTACACTGTGAGGAGTGCTCCGTGAGTATGGAATTGGGGGCCCGCTGTTACGGGCTATCTGGTCCCTATGTGAACAAGTGGTGCGAGAGTTTGGTTCGCATTGCCGGTAGTAAGTTGGACCCCTTTAGGGTGGGAGTTAGACTCCGCCAGGGCTGCCCGTTGTCACTGGTTCTGTTCATAACTTTTATGGACAGAATTTCTTGGTGCAGCCAGGGGGTGGAGGGATGGTGGTTCGGCGGACACAGGATTACAACTCTCTCCCTCTTTGGGTAGTGACCAAAAGAACAATATCACTGATACAGGCATTTGAAATGAGTTTCCTCCTCCTCAGATTCCTATCTGCAATGAGTCAGAATGTTGTCTCTGGTTTAATGTAAGCAGGAAGCAGGTATGTGAGGCAAGAGTTCAGCTAAGTTTTTGTGTAACTTGTTTTTTGTCATTCCATTATTTTCACACAATTACACAGAGAGACATTACTAAGATACACAACAAGTTGTAATTTCATGATCTATCTCTGAATGAATGCCTAAACCCTCAATAGTATTGATTGTGAACTTTTAACATCTGTGCACAGGGACTGATCATCACACAATCTGTCCTGTGGCAAACAGGTTTTAACTTGTGTCTTGATTTTAGTAGGACGTTTTATTTAACAACATGCAACAAAACAAAATGTTCAGACTTTAAGTCCACAAGAAACAAGAAATGACCCAAGACATTTTCACAGCTGATTTGTCTGCAATTTTACATTTCACAAAATGTTTTTTTCCCCTGTAGACAAGTGGGGCTCCATATTCATCTTACTAACTCAGCAACTGTCCTCATTGTTAGTGTCACTGCGGGATGTCCTTCAGGTTCACTGGCTCTTTGAACAAACCCAACGTGAAGGTGCAGGTTGGGTGCCAGGCATGTGTGAAATGAGACGGAAGAGACCGGAGCAACAGACGCACAAACACACACACAAACAGGCCTGAACGCACAAAGACAAAGAGACAAAGGCTCAAAACGCAATCAATACCTACAGTAACAATTTAGAAAACAAATACACGATAAAGGAGAGCGGAAAAGCTTTATGAAACACTGCAAAGAGGCAAAGATCAAACATAATTATACACTCAACTGTCAGAAAGGCAGAAAATCATCAGCTTTCTCTAAGAGCTGCTGAATTCTGGATTTTATACCATATTTTTCGGACTATAAGGCGCACCAGATTATAAGGCGCAATATCAATGAACGGGTCTGTTTTCATACATAAGGCACGTTACGTGAAACAAAACAGTCAGATAAGTCAAACTTTATTCAACTCATTCCAAATAACCACATAAAATCGGTTTGAGGTCAGTAAGCACAGCCTAAATTAATACATAAGGCGCACCAGATTATAAGACAATTTTTGAGAAAATTAAAGAATTTTAAGTGCACCTTATAGTCTGAAAAACATGATAGTTAGAATCTGTAATGTCCTATTAAGCAGGGTTTTTTTTTTTTTTAAATGATAAAATACCTGGGGCAGCACAGTGGTGCAACTGGTTGAGCTGCTGCCTCTTAGCGAGCAGGTTCCTGGTTCAAATCCCGGTCCAGGGGCCTTTCTGGCTGGAGTTTGCATGTTCTCTCCGTGCAAGCGTGGGTTTTCTCCGGGTACTCCGGTTTCCTCCCACAGACCAAAAACATGCATGTTAGACTGATTGGTAACTCTAAATTGTCCCTAGGTGTGAATGAGACAGTGAATGGTTGTTTTTCTCGTTTGTCTCTATGTGTCCCTGTGACGGACTGGAGACCCATCCAGGGTGTACCCCGCCCCTCGCACTGTGATTGCTGGACATGGGCACCGGCGACCCCCGTGACCCAAAAATGGAAGAAGCAGGTAAAAGATAATGGATAGAAGGATTAGATACCTACAAGATCTGTGTTCAGTTATCCTCTTTTCACGTTTTAAGTTTGTTGCAGCAATAAATGAAGATCATCATTTGTACCAGACACATTTAAGCACTAAATCTTTTGATGCTCTTTGAATACAGATGGGAACAAACATCCTTTTAGCTGTAATTTAAGAAAACCTCTGAAACTTTCTTTGAACATCAGTATACGCTTGACCTCAGACGTATCGTGCTGTTCAAGGTCCTGTGTACACATTTCTTCTCAAAGGGTTTTGAATCTGGACATTGATGGGATCATTTTGTCACTTTATATTTTACTTTTAGAGCCTGACATTAATGTTTAGTGTCTATTTACACCGAAAACAAAATTATTTACAGAAGTATGAAGGTGAATGTCTTGAAACAACTGAAGAGAAAATTATTATTAGTAACAGATCCTTGGAGAGGTATGATGAAGGTGGATTACTAGAAAGGATCTTTGCCCTACTTGTTCCCTTTTATTTTCCAGTTACAGTAGGAGGGGGTTGAAGATGCAGTGGTTCTAATAGAGAAAAATGGCACGGCATTGAACAGTTGGTGATCCTTATGTGGAGAGTTGATCAGTGAGGAGCGACATTAACCAGCCACTAGGAGCACAAACCAGTGTATCTCTTGTGCAAGTCCAAAGCCTGGGTAAATGGTGAGGGTTGCCTCAGGAAGGGCATCTGACACTTTTGCCAAAACTATAATGAGAGTTCATTCATATGACACCATACCAGATCGGTTGAGGCCCGGGTTAACAACGACCACCATCTGTGCAGTTTAAAAACAGAGTGCTGGTGGAAATTGTGCTACTGTTAGTCGAAGACCATGAGGAGGGAAACGTGTCAGGAGACAGAGGGAGAAGAGGAAAGTCAAGAATGTAGGACTGAGGGTATTAACTCTAAATGTGGGGACAATGACAGGCAATGGTAGAGAGTTGGCTGACATGATGCAGAGAAGGAAGGTGGATGTTTTATATGCACAAGAGACTAAGTGGATGGTCAGCAAGGCAACATTCAACAACATAAAGTATTTTACCACAGTGTGGACAGAAATAAAAATGAAGGAAGGATTTTGAGGGAGGAGTTTGCAAAAAATGTAGTAGAGGTGAAAAAAGTGTCAGATAGGGTGATGTGTCTGAAGGTCAAAGCAGGTCATCTAATGCTAGATGTCAGTGGTAATGCCCCACAGGTTAGATGTGATGTAGAGGAGAAAGATAATGTTTGGAAGGATCCGGATGAAGTGATGAAGAGTATTCCCAGGGAGGAGAGTGGTGATCGAAGCAGACCTGAATAGACGTGTTAGTTAAGGAAACAGAGATGAAGAAGTGATGGGTAGGTTTGGTGTCAAAGAAAGAAACCAGGAAGAACATATGGTGGTAGATTTTGCCTAGAGAATGAACATGGCTGTAATCAACACAAGAGCTTCTTAATGACTAACCACTGTGACTGTAGTCGCTCAGAGTGGATGGACGAACAAAACGTTTTATATAATGTCAGTTTCTGGTACACTAACTTTCTCATATGTAATATATACTTGTGGGCTAATTTTACTTAGTACTGTTAAGGCAGTTAGTACTTAGTAATGTTCTTAGATTTTAGCAATACATTACTTTATAACAAATAACAGAATCAGAGCCCACTTATGCGTTAGAACACAAGAAAAATAATTTACACAACTAACAAATCAATGTGACATCAACTCTCAGATCTGCTGAAGTGAGAGGAGTGAAATCTGGAGAGAAATCACAGTAACAGATTTTTAAAAATATGGATGAACTGAGTTTTCAGGATAACAAAAGGCTGAGAGAAAATGACATGATTTGGTATAATGAAAGTATTCTGTGCAGATGTTTTAAGCATAAACAAACAGAAAAGTCTATATTTCTCGGTAGAAACAAGAAAACAAAACAGGAGTTACAACATTACTGATCATTGAGAGATAAAAAAAATAATCAAAGTTAGTAAAATGCAGTTGTCATGGAAACCTGGACCAGTCTCCATGTGAATCCTGGCTGAAACAGCAGAGCAGAGCTCTTCTGTCACTCAGCCTTATGCTCTCCTCTAAGAGATCTGCTGCCCTTGCTGTGTCCTCCAGAATGCACCGATGTCACACTGTTTGCAATTAGGAGTCAGACAGCACAGATTGTTCATGGTGGATGGCAGGAAATGGAGACTGCAGACTAAAACCATATTAAATCTGTTGCTGCAAAAGTGTGAAATGAAATAAAAGTTTGAACAAAACCCATTGGGACACAGGACATTTTGACACCAGGTAAAAAGACAAAAATACAAAGGCGTAATATGGAGGTGCAGAATCTCCTTTAGTTTAATTTATGACAGAAGCTGTGTTCTGTTGCCTCACAATAAGAGGGTCTCTGTTTCTGTGGGAAGTTTGCATGTTGCCTCCTTGACTGCAGGCTCTCTTTTGAACCCATTTCTATGGTTTGACCATCTGAGATGTAGACTAAAAAATAAACTTAAGGATTGTTTCAATGGCAAATAAAATAATGGGGAAACCGCAAAAAGCTCTGTCTCAACTGTTTGCAGAAAGAACAAGGAAGATGGCAAGGATATTTTAGCAGATAGTACCCATCCTCTTTTTCATCAGTTTGCACCTCTGAGCTCAAGGCATTATAGGGTCCCTCTGGCAACGAAGAACTTATATAAGAAGTCATTTATTCTGAATTCAATAATCATTCTTAACCAAAACAAATTATAATATCTATCTATGGTATGCAAAATGTTTTATTCTATGCACAAATTGTTGATATTTTTGATTTTATGAATGTGTTTTATTTTATGGTTGGAGAGCCAAAGGAAAATTTCCATCTTGGTGGACAATAAAGTTTTATCTTATCTTGTCTTATCTTATCTAAATTTCCATGATTTTTCTAAATCACCATTACATTCCTGTAGACCATAAAAGTCGGGTGCATGATGCTATGGGCAGTGGCCGAGGCGGGAACCTTGGCGCTCTGACCCTGGCTTATCAAAGCTAGCTCTTGGGACCTGGAATGTAACCTCTCTGGCAGGGAAGGAGCCTGAGCTTGTGCGCGAGGTTGAGAGGTACCAACTAGATATAGTTGGGCTTACCTCGACACACAGCATGGGCTCTGAAACCGATCTCCTTGAGAGGGGCTGGACCTTATTTCACTCTGGAGTTGCCCATGGTGAGAGGCGTCGAGCTGGTGTGGGTCTACTTGTAGCCCCCTGACTTGGTGCCTGTGTGTTGGAGTTTTCCCCAGTAGATGAGAGGGTGGATTCCTTTTGCCTTTGGGTGGGAGGACAGGCTCTGACTGTTGTTTGTGCATATGCGCCAAACTGCAGTTCAGAGTATCTGGCCTTCTTGGAGTCCTTGGCAGGGGTGCTGGAAGGTGCGCCAGCTGGGGACTCCTTTATTCTGCTGGGGGACTTCAATGCCCACTTGGGTAATGACAGTGTGACCTGGAGGGCGTGATTGGGAGGAACAGCCTCTCTAACCTGAACCCGAGCGGTGTTCTGTTGTTGGACTTCTGTGCTAGTCATAGTTTGTCCATCACAAACGCCATGTTCGAACATAAGGGTATCCATAAGTGCACTTGGCAGCAGGACGCCCTAGGTTGTAGATTGATGATTGACTTCATAGTCGTGTCATCTGATTTGCAGCCGTTTGTTTTGGACACTCGGGTGAAGAGAGGAGCTGAGCTGTCAACTTATCACCACCTGGTAGTGAGTTGGATCAGATGGCGGGGGAAGATGCCTGACAGACCCGGTAAACCCAAACGTGTAGTGAGGGTTTGCTGGGAATGCCTGGCAGAAGAACCCTTCAGAGAGATCTTCAACTCACACCTCCGGGAGAGCTTTAACCTCATCCCAGCTGAGGTGGGGGACATTGAGTCTGAGTGGGCCAGGTTCCGCGCCTCGCTTGTTGAGTTAGCTGCCTTAAGCTGTGGCCACAAGGTTGTTGGTGCTTCTTGCGGTGGCCATCCACGAACTCGGTGGTGGATACCTTGGGTTAGGGAGACTGTCAAGCTGAAGAAGAAGTCCTATCGGACCTTGTTGGCCAGTAGGACTCTGGAGGCAGCTGAGGAGTACCGGAGGGCCAAGCAGTGTGCAGCCTTGGCTGTTGCTGAGGCAAAAGCTCGGATGTGGGAGAAGTTTGGTGAGACCTTGGATAGAGACTCTCGGTCTGCTCTGAGAAAATTCTGGAAAAACCATCAGGCGGCTGAGGATATGAAAGCAGCACTTTAATAACACTGTGTTCAGTGAAGGTGGGGTGCTGTTGACCTCAACCAGTGATGTCATCGAGAGGTGGAAGGAACACTTCTCGAACCTTCTAAATCCCACTAGCACGTCTTCCATGGAGGAAGCTGAGTCGGGGGACTTTGGGGCTGATCCGTCCATAACCGTGGCTGAGGTTGCCGAGGTAGTTACAAAGCTCCGAGGCGGCAGGGCTCCGGGAGTGGATGAGATTCACCCTGATTTCCTTAAGGCTCTGGATGTAGTGGGGCTGTCTTGGCTGACAGGCCTTTGCAATGTCGCATGGACATCGGGGGCAGTGCCACTGGATTGGCAGACTGGGGTGGTGGTTCCCCTCTTCAAAAAGGGGGACCGGAGGGTGTGCTCCAATTATAGGGGCATCACTCTCCTTAGCCTCCCTGGTAAGGTCTATTTAGGGGTACTGGAGAAGCGAGTCCGATAGTTGGTCAAACCTCAGATCCAGGAGGAACAATCTGGGTTCCATCCTGGCTGTGGAACACTAGATCAGCTCTTTACCCTCACTAGGGTCCTTGAGGGGTCATGGGAGTTTGCCCATTCAGTCTACATGTGTTTTGTGGACTTGGAGTAGGCATTCAACCTTGTTCCTTGGGGTACACTGTGGGGGGTGCTCCGTGAGTATGGGATTGGAGACCCGTTGTTATGGGCTGTTCAGTCCCTATACAAGCGGTGCGAGAGTTTGATTCGCATTGTTGACAGTAAGTCGAGCCCCTTCAGGGTGGAAGTTGGACTCCGCCAGGGCTGCCCGTTGTCACTGATTCTGTTCATAACTTTTATGGACAGAATTTCTCTATGAGGCCAGCTGGTGGAGGGTTTCCAGTTCAGTGGCCTCAGGATTCCATCTCTGCTCTTTGCAGATGATGTAGTCCTATTGGCGTCATCGTGTCGTGATCTTCAGCTCTCACTGGAGCGGTTTGCAGCTGAGTGTGACGCAGCTGGGATGAGAATCAGCACCTCCAAATCTGAGGCCATGGTCCTCAACTGGAAAAGAGCAGATTGCTCTCTTCAGGTCGAGAGTGAGGTTCTGCCTCAAGTGGAGGAATTCAAGTATCTCAAGATTTTGTTCATGAGTGAGGGAAGAATGGAGCGTGAGATTGACAGACAGATTGGTGCAGCATCTGCAGTATTGCAGACTCTGTACCGGTCCGTTGTGGTGAAGCGAGAGCTGAGCTGAAAGGCAAAGTTCTCTGTTTACCGGTCGGTCTACGTTCCTACCCTCACCTATGGTCATGAGCTCTGGGTAAAGAGCTAAAAGAATGAGATCACGGATACAGGCAGTTGAAATGAGTTTTCTTCACAGGGTAGCTGGACTCTCCCTTAGAGACAAGGTGAGAAATTCAGTTATCCGGGAGAGACTCAGAGTAGAACCGCTACTCCTTCACATCGAGAGGAGCCAGTTGAGGTGGTTCGGGCATCTGGTAAGGATGCCCCCTGGGCGCCTCCCTAGGGAAGTGCTTCGGGCATGTCCAACTGGGAGGAGACCCCAGGGAAGACCCAGGACACGCTGGAGAGACTATGTCTTTTGGTTGGCCTGGGAATGCCTTGGAATCCTCCCAGAAGAGCTGGAAGAGGTGGCTGTGTAAAGAGATGTCTGGGCCTCCTTGCTCAAGCTGCTGTCCCTGCAACCTGACTTCGGAATAAGCGGAAGATAATGGATGGATGGATGGATGGATGGATGGATGGATGGATGGACCATTACAAGAGCTATAACGTATGATTTTTATAAAGACCTTAAATGCTACTAATGATTCAAGCTGATTTGTAATGTAAAGACCCACTTCAGCCCTTCCTATTTTACATATTTTAATACTATAGTATTCAATGTTAAACTGTTTGGTGACTGTGATCCAAATAAGTCTATGGATTTAAAAGAAAGCAGCAATTAAATCCAGCCAGGGTGTCAGTCATTTGGTCGATCACGCACATAAAAAGCTAAAGTGAAGGGAGATTTGACAGCAAGTATATTATTTACCCGTCTATGAAGGATAAAATCAATTTCCTACAGAAACTGCCACTGACTTATTTATTTTAAAACAGTGCATAATGAATCTGTTCCTCCCTGTTGATGACAGAAACTCATTTGATGGTGACATTTATGCCTGACTAAAGGCTCAGTTTGTTCAGTCTGGGCTGTCTCTGTGAAACAGAGCAGAATTTGTGACTTCCATCTGAAAAGCTCAAAACATTACACCCCGCTATTATTAACCCTGAAGAATAGATTTGTTGGCTGCAGAATTATGACCTAGGGCAGGGTGATTATATGAGAAAATCAATTCCAGGGACTGAAGTAACTTTTCCCATTTTATTACCTTTCTTTAACAGGGCAAATCCTATTGAGATCACGTTTATTCAAGGGAGACCTGGGCCGGAAGGCAGCCTAAATATGAAATATTTGACTGTGGGAGGAAACTGGAGTACCCGGAGAAATATGAAGAACATGCAAACTTCATGTAAAGACCACAGGCCCAGCCAAAAATACAAACAACCATGTCTATGCTCCACTTTCAAGCATCATTCTTTCCTTTAAGCACTAAAAACTGGTTTCCCATACTACTTTATTTATAAAAGCACCTAAAAACAGCAACAAGGCCAACGAAAGTGCTGTACAGAGAAATCAAAAGAAACAAAGAACACAGGATAAAATACTTGAATCAAAATAGGTAAAGATAAGAACTAAATGACTACGGGTGCATTCACACCAACCCTGTTGTCCCGAACTCTAGCCCGTTTGCCTAGGAAGTCCAGTTCGTTTGGGGAGGTGTGAACTCGCCATCAAACTCTGTCACGGAACAAAAAGGTGAACTCTGGCCCGATCTAAAACCTAGGTCTCAGTCCGGTAGAAGAAAACTCGAGAGCGGTTTGAGTACAGTGTGAATCTTAGCAGACCGGGCACCGCTCCGCAAGCAGGAAGAGGACTACTACAACGCAGGGCAAACAAACACGCATTTCTCTTACCTCATATGGAGCCGTCAGCTTGCCTTGTATGAAAAACAACATTCTCCGTGGTCTTCTGCCTCATCTTTCGCTCATGCTGAGTCCATTGTTGAAAAATGACAAAATAGAACTCCTAAAACTGCTAAAACTTGACGCCACTCCGTTTTTGTTTTTATTTCCAGAAGAAGAAGTGTCTTCTTCAGAGGTTTTTGTGTCGTTTCTTTCAGTAGTTCTTGGTGCAGTGCCACCACAGACGAGTGGGGAAACAGGTTGGTTTGAACAGGATGGCTCGATTGCACAGTGCAGTGTGAATGCAAACTGCACCAGCTCAAAGGTAAACAAAAATTTTATGAATATTGGTCCCCAACCAAACCGAGTCTACCTGACTATCAGGTGTGAAAACAACCTAAAACAAATGCCTGGAACCAATAGAAGCATGTGGTCTGCTGACCTCAGAGAGTGCTGTGGGACATATGGCTGCAGCAGATCAGCGAGACAGGAGGGGGCGGAGCTGTTCAGAGATTTAAAAATATACAGAAGGATTTTAAAATGAATTCAAAAATGAACAGAGCCAGTGCAGGTAGGCCAGAACAGACGTAAAGAGCTCTCTTTTGCTTGTACCAATTAACAATCAGGCTGTAGCATTTTGAACCAGTTGTAAATGTGTAATAGAGGTCTGACTGATTCCAAAAAGAAACGCATTGCAGTAATCAAGCATGTATCACTGTCTCAAGATTACTTGTGGACAGTATGGGCTTCGGTTTAGACAGTCGCCTCAACTGAAACAACAAACAAAAAACAAACCAGGATCTAACAATCACATTTACGTAACTGTTGAGTTTCATGGAAGGGTCCATTTTGACTCCCAGATTAGTGACCACTTGTTTCTCTAATGGGTCTAGAGAGGAAAAGTCGATAGTTGTTCTTGATTGTGTCATTAGGTGAAAACAACATGACTTCTGTCTTCTTCTCATTAAAGTTTAAGAAATTTAAAGCCATCCAATCCCTGATGTCAGCCAGGCAGTCAACAAGAGTTCATAAAGTAAATGTCTTTCATTGACATGGTGACGAAAATTGTTTATTTTCTTACTTGCACCCACTGCTGAGACTACATCTTGTGCATTGTCCCAATGTTGTGTACAGAAGTCAATTAATTGCTTTGTGTGACAGAGCTTTGTGGACGTGTTTGTTAATTAAAAATGTCTGCAATATGCTGCTCTGAGAGCAGCAGGTAGATGAGGCAATTAGAAACTACAGTAAAGCTTGTCAAATAAAACTTGAGAGTCAAACCCGTGGGAGACTGGGCCATTTTTATGCATGTTGGAGAAAGTGCAGAGACACAGGCTGGAGACATCCATGGCTGTGGTGACTGGGAGGGAGTGTGCCTCAGACAGGCAGCGTAGGGACCGGTTCTCCCACAATTGGATGGAAGTGAGGCAGACTGACAAATTTATGAAGTAGAGCTCTTTCTTGGACAACTACAGAAATATCTCCCAACTCCAAATGAAAACATCCACTCTGACAAAAGCACTGTTTGTTAATTCTGAGTGCATGCATTGTGCGCTGCAGTGGGACGACTTGTCAGGACTTCATCACAGTTTCTTTGAGTATGAATAGTCCACGAGAAAGACTCAAATAGGTACAATGTCTTGAAGTCTTGCAAGTATAACCAAACCTTAAGACTTCATAAGCTGCAAACTGAAGTCTCTTTATATTCTCACTCTGAGACAGAGTGGTTGACAGAGTTACCCAAAACTTCTGCAGTCATATTAGTCTGCCAAATGAAAGCCAACTCAGGATCCGAAGGTCCCGGGTTTGATCCACTGTCATTGCACATCTCGTGGTGTCTCTAAGCAGGACGCCCCATCCCCAGTTGCTCCCTGGGCACCTCCAAAGGACGCCCACTGCTCCGCATGGTGGTGGATAGGTTAAATGCAGACAGCCAATTTCGCCATTGTATGGGAACATACAATGATAATACATAAAACATTATTATTAAATATATATATATATATATATATATATATATATATATATTTATAACTAAAAATAAATATATAAGAATAGCCATAAGGATGAAGATTGAATTTACCTCCTGTTATTCTGCAGCTTCTCTAACAGAGCAGAGGGGATGTGCGTTTTCAAACTCACGCAGCTCATAAACCTGTAATAAAATAAATAAAATCAGTTTTGTTGGCACATGTTTCAGATTGTAGGAATGAAGCTGTAGAACTAGGTTGAATCATCACCATTGTTTAGTAACAGATGTGCTATAGCTGCCCTTCTGTCATTGAAAATAACACATTTAGATTTTGTTTTCAAAGTAAAGCAGGATGTTTGAGGGTAAAGGTCAGAGATCTTGAAGATCATTTTATTGTACTTTAAAATTAAAATGGTAGCATAGTCATTTTTGCTGAGCAGCGTGGCTTTAAACAGTTTGGTGTTCAGAGAACCAAAGAGTCACTGACTCAGAATACAAATGATAAGCATTACTTATAAAACAGGGAAGGGTTTAGGGACCTGCAAAGAGGGAGAGAGTAAATAACCAGTAAATAGAGGTTTTTAGGCAAAGCTTTGCTTACTGTGAGTTTTCGTTTACAGGTTCAGGAGGAGGAGGCATGGAGGATTCCAGATTCCAGACAACTGTTGCTGATCTCCCAGAGATAAATTGTTTGGAGTGTGACAGGTGGGACCAGAGATGGGAGACAAAACCAGTTATGTCCAGTCATATCTTACAGGTTGAGACAATGAAGTTGAGAGGCTCCAGGCAGAGGACGTTGAGGCAGGAGAACCGAACTCAAGAAACAGCTCGAGGCACAACGGGTAAGTTTTCACAGCAGGCAGCTAAAAAAACAGGAGGAAGGATTCAAAGGTTAGACTTGGTCTTTTACTCAAAATGATATTTACTAAGACTACGTGTTGACTTCACTGCAGACGAACCAACACTCAAGCACTGGTATGTGATCTGGCTTCAGACTTTATATGGTCCTGGCTCATCAGGCAGCCACCACAGTTGTGGTAGATGACACACACCTGTTGCTCATGAGCTGTGAAGAAGTGGTTAGTGACAGGTAGAGGAAAACCAGCAACTTTTTACTGCTGTCATCATTATCAGCCATCTGGCCTGTAGGATTTCATGATATTTCTAATCAAACAATATGCCTGATGTGTCTGATCAAGGGGAGACAGAGTGTGTGTGTGTGTGTGTGGGGGGGGGGGGGCACCAATTTTTTGAGTGCCACACACCAAAATGGAGTCAGCACGTTGCTTGATTTTAAAGTTACCCACCTCACAAGTTTAAAATATATGTAAAGTAAGTAAGTAAGTAAGTAAAACCTTATTTCTATAGCACCTTTCACAGACATATAGATCACAAAGTGCTTCACAAAGGCAAGACAATTAAAACAAAACAAACAAACAAACAAAACAAAAAAACAACATTAAGCAAAAGCTTGCCTGAATAAAAACGTCTTTAGCTGTTTCTTAAAAGAGTCTGTGGAGTCTGCAGTGTAGGGACAAAGGGAGGGCGTTCCAGAGCCTCAGAGCCACCGCCCAAAAAGTGTTGTTTCCACGGGTTTTAAAATGGGTTCAGGGTACAGACAGTAACATTTGACTTGAAGACCTCAGAGTCCTAGGCAAAAAAGGATCCAAAAGGTCAATAATGTATTTAGGAGCCTGGCCATGGATAGTCTTGAAAGTTAAAACCAACATTTTAAAGTTGATCCTAAAGTGCACAGGAAACCAGTGTAGGGAGGCAAGAACAGGAGTGCTGTACTCTTCTGTCAATTCTAGTCAGCAGCCTTGCTGCAGCATTCTGTACAGACTGAAGATGAGCCAGGGAGGTTTTATTTTTCAGTCAACCTTTATTTAGACAGATAAGTCGCACTGAGCCTCGAAAACTCGTTTACAAGTGAGATCTGCTTAGACAGACAAAAAGTAGTGCAACTGGAACACGTAGGAATTGGAAGCAAAAAAATTCCTATCAAAATTTTCTTCTTGGCTGAGAAGAAAAACTCTAATATTAAAAAACACCTTGCACATAAAGCACATAGTGACGTAGGCATTCCGGAAAAAGGGGAGGAGAGACAACGAGAGCAGTGAGCGATGTTCAAAGATGCACTCAAGGTCACTGTAAGAGTTCTGATAAGGATGGAATAATCAGCCAGTTTCCTCCGGTGAGATCCGTAAACATTTTCGAGGGATGTCGGGGAATGGCCAAGGACAACGCCTTGTCACTTGAAATTTTTAATAACACTGTCTCTGTAGAGTGCCATTTACAAAAACCAGATTGAAAGGTATCCATGATACCCCTCTCCTCCAAACATTGGTTCAGTTGTTCTGCCTTCTCAAGGTTTTTGATAAAAATGGTAGCTTAGAGATGGGTCTATAGCTGTCAGGAAGAGAAGGATCCAGGTTTCAGGTGGCTTTTTTAGTAGTGGGCAGACAACAGCTTTTTTGAATAGACATGGCAGAGCCAGAAGAAAGGGAGAGGTTAATCAGATTAAGAGCACTAGGCCCAATACAGTTGAATATGGTCATGAAAAAGGAAGCCACACATATATGGTGGCAGCCATCTTGGATTTTGATGGCAATGCAAATTTTCAACAGGGGCCTTTCTTACACAGCCACACACCAAAATGGGAATCAGTACCTCACTTATTTTTCAAGTTATCATGCTCACTACATGGACAGACAGATGGACTCTGTGACAATGGACAAAAACAACATAAAAGGGACCCAAGTTTAGCTACCCATTAGCCTAGCCTGGAGGAAGACCTCTGCCCTTTTCTTCATACTTTACCTTTTGTGACTGATATCATGTAAAACATTGAGATGTCTTTGACAGAGCAACACTTCAAAAGTCACCAAACCATCTCTTTAATGATCCAAGGCTGATTAAATCATTGTGAGCAGAATAAATTAAAGGAGCAATATCTGCATCTGAATGGCTTCATCCTCATTACTCTTGATAATCGAGCTCATGAAAACTGAAATGGATCTGGAATTTAGGCCGTTAGTCAGAGTTATTTGCTTAGCGGTGTTGTTTGATTGGATTTGCTGGTCTAATTTAAGTCTTTACAAAAGTATGGCTACAAGACAGCTTGGGGAATTCTTACCAAGACAAATATCAGCTTCACATGCAGTGTAGATATCTGACTGCCTTTATACAAGCATTATTTTGCCAGTAAAAATAATTAGTTGTATTGTGCAGACATCGAATGCTTTCCAACAGTGCCTTTGTTTGTTACAGGTCATTTCACCCAGCATCAAGCAGCCATGCATATTACATTAAGAACTGTTTGAACAACCGTCCCAAATCTCTCTTTCCTGACAAGCATGACTTCCTCTGAGCATGTGTGACAAGCTGCACATTCTCACTGGGGACTGTCCTCCTATGAGCTCTATAACCTTGCATCCATGCAGCAAAGTTTGTTCCCACAAACATCCTAAAATAAAAACGGTACAGGTAATATTGATGACAGTGAAACAAACAGAAGAAGTGAAGGTGATGTTGCAGTCACACTTGATTCTAACAACCTAGGCTGTTGTTAAACCACTTTAAATCATCAGTCACACAGACATCTTAAGGCACAAATCCTTGCAAAGAGTGCTGTAGCTGAATTCTTCCTTCTCCAATAAGCAAAACATTGTTTAGCCTCCAAACTGCCAAATAAAAAGGCAGATTTTAAAGTGATAATTCAGAGTTTTTAAAGTGGGGATTTGTGGAGAGGTTATTAACAGTTAAAATGTTACCATAATATCTTATTTTACCCAAAGTTGATTGCTTTCCTAAAACATCTCTAACAGATATTTCATAGTGATAAAAGCTTTTTTATTGATTTCAAATTTTAAGGTTATTTATATAAAATAAGTACAAATAAGAAGCAGTATCAACTTGCTGTAGCACTTTCTGGGGCATTTTCTGCAGGAATATCAATATTTCTGTGTGGATAAATGTGCCATGCAAAATTGGGAGCAATGGAAAGATTTATTAAATAACTTTTGCCAGATCTTTTATGAAATGTCAATCATCTGGTTGGTCCACTTAAGGAGTTTACTGCTTTGTGGGGAAACAGTTTACTTGGAGCTCCTCAGACTGATGAAGCCCTCCGGATAGAGGGTGAAACGTCTCTAGAAAAAAGAAACTGTCCAGATGACCTGACTGAGCATTATTGGAATTGGTACCTGGATGATTGAGCATGAACTCCGTTGTAGCCACAAGCTTCATAGCCAAAATGTTGCCAAATGCTAAAAAAAAAAAACTAGCTATAAGCCAAAATAAGCAAAACAGAAGCTAAACTGACCAAAACTATAAATAAAAGTTAAAATCAATTAAACTGTATCTAAATTTTGTATAATCATAGCCAAATCTTTAATTTCCAACTCAGTTTTATACATTTTAAAGGCTATAATCAGTTAAACAAATGTTTTAATGTAAAACTGTAAAAAGTAATCTACTGTAATGTTCCTGGTTGTATTAATTCTGTTTTATATTTGCAAGTCAGGGCAGCAAGCATCTAACCAGGCTTTGAAACGTTGAACTGTCACGTAGAACAAAGGAAGTTGGACCCAAGAATGCAGACTGACTTGAGGATCTTCAATAAAAATAAACTTTATTTTAACCAAAAATAAAGGCTATCGTGGCAGCAAAAAACTTATATGAACAGTGCAGGCAGGACAAGATGTGGCACAAAAACCAACAATCCTACACTTACAAATTAATTCAAAAGGAGAATAAACACACGGGGCTGATGAGGATGTGTTGTAATGGTCACTGACCGATTAATACAGCGTTAGATGTATTTCCATTTTTTTTAATTTTATATATTGTCTACGCTGCAAACTATGACCATTTATTATTAATTATTGTCCCCTGTAAGGTAATGTTTGTGTTCTGAATGGAAGTTTGAACTTGTTTATTTGTTTGTGTAAATTTGTCTGTGTAAAAATACGTTTTGGGGAAGAGAGCTTAAAAGGAGGAGGAAGTGACCGCGTCGGCCTCTCTTGCCTTGGAGTGCGCACCTGCCGAGGAGGATTTGGCGTGAGGCCGTTGCCCTGGACTGCCTGTGGACCGTTTATCACCCTGAGTTGGGATCGCGGGGGATCAGTAACTTTTTCTTACCCAGGACTGCAGGGGAGGCACGCTAAATGGACCTTGAGTTTCTGGTGAGATCGCTTCTTTTTATTTCGGCGCGCCGACGCCTGGATGGATTGAGTGGGCGTTTCCCTCATCCCACTTGAAACAAACTTTCCTTCTAAGAGAACATTCGGACTGAAAGTTGGTGCAGCTTGGTTTTTGATTTATGGGGTTTGTCTGCAGATATGTAAATGTTGGGGGGGGGATGAAGCGTTCGGGTTGTTTATGGGCACAACTGATGTGTTTGTTTAAATTGTGTAAAGGGCATTAAATGTTAGCCTGCGTGGCCAATATCAGCAGTTGTTTATGAGAGCTTTTTTTTTTTTGCATGTGGGGTGAATTATTTTCTGTTTATTAGGTTATGCTTTCTACTCAACCATTATAAGTTTTAAGCACCGTCAGCTTCAGACACTGCCCGTGACGTATTTAGCGTTATGTAATTAATCCCCCTATCATCGCAACGGTGGGGGCAGGTTGTTACAGTGTAAACGCCTGGACAGGATGAAGACTGAGAACAGGTGAGAGAGGGCAGAGCTGGAGCTGAGGAATACAACTGACTGAGGAAAATAGACTGAAAATACAGAGACCAGGAACAAACAACACAAAGAAAGATACCAAACACTGATCCTGGCATTAAAAGTCTGCAATAAAAGACAACCACTGTGAAATTTCCAGCACCCATTGTGGCAAATCTCAAAGCATACTGCAAAGGCATTGATAAAATTTGTTTCTACTAAAGAAAAACATGTTTTATATGAACCAGCTCTTTGTTTTTAGTCAGCTTCTCCAAAATAAAAAAAAGCCTATGGGTGAATGTTTGATTCTCCGACATCAAAGTTTTATATCTCAGAAAAATGGACAGTTGAGAGGGTGGAGGAGTCCATCAGGCAGCTGGAGTGCTGCATTTTAAAAAGTGACGATCGTTTGTATGCATCAGAGAAATCAGAAGTTTCACCGAGATAATGTTTCCTTTCAGCCGGTTGGCATGATGCTGCTGCTTTTAAGACACATTAAAGAAGCAAGGTACAAAACTTAACGATTTTTGTCCACAGTAACTGGATTATGTGTCCACAAACGTAAAAAAATATATTTCATCAAGAATAATGTGAACTTTGAGCTGGCCCTGAAGTTTCAAAGCACAATGTTAAGAATCATCTAAAAAAAGTTTTAATTTCACATTTTACTTCTTAAGTGCAGTCAAGCATTTAAAGCAACAGTTTTGCTTTGCTGTGTGCAGGACTTCAAGTACTTGAGGTCCACTGACCAGAAAAATGGGGAGTGTAGTAAAGAGGTGAAGAAGATAGTCCAGGCAGGATGAAACAGCTATGATTTGGTGTGGAGACAATGGCATTGACAAAAAGAAGAAAGAAATGAAAGTGGCAGAGCTGAAGATGTTGAGGTTCTCCTTAGCTGTAACAAGGACAAATGAGATTAGGAATGAGGTCATCAGAGGTACAGCACAGGTTGAAGGACCGGGAGATAAAGTTAGAGAGTCCAGACTGAGATGGTTAGGACATGTCCAGAGGAGGGACAGTGGGTGGATTGGTAGAAGGATGTTAGAAATGCAGCTGCCAGGAAAAAGACTAAGAGGAGATAAATGGATGCAGTTAGAGAGGACATAGAGGTAGTTGGAGTGAGGACAGAGGATGCAGAGGACAGAGTGAGATGGAGGAGGATGACTTGCTGTGGAGACCCTGAAGAAACAGCCGAAAAAAAATAAGGATAATTTAATGTTGATTTTACAGATTTATGGGGATCTTTTTTTTTTGTATTTACTTATGTGTGTACCGGACAGTACTTTATTTTAAATATTGGAACTCTTTTTATTGATCACTATTCATCCATGTTACAAAAACCTAATAAAAATGTTTTTTAAAAATTGTAGTTTGCAGTGTTGCAAAAACTGTTTAAAATCATATTTTAGCTAGTAAGATGCATCCATCCATCATCTTTTACCCGTTTCTTCCTTTCCAGGTCACGGGGGTCACTGGTGCCCATATCCAGCAGTCACTGTGCGAGTGATGGGGGACACCATGGACAGGTCTCCAGTCCATCACAGGGACACATAGAGACAAATGAGACAAACAACCATTCACTCTCTCACTCACACCTAGGGACAATTTATAGTTACCAATCAGTCTAACATGCATGTTTTTGGTCTGTGGGAGGAAACCGGAGCACCCAGAGAAAACCTACAGAGAACATGCAAACTCCATTCAGCAAGGTCCCCCGGCCGAGATTTGAATCGGGGTGACTTGCTCATTGAGAGGCGACAGCTCTACCAACTGTGTCCCCATGCCACCCTACATTTTTTTCAAACTGTATACAAAGATTTGACAAATCTCTCATTGTTTTCAACACAAAGGTCAGAAATTGAGCAGGAAAGACTGAGAGGAATTATGTTTGAGAATTTGCAAATAAATGAAAATACATTTTCTTGTTTTTGTAATTATTATCACCTACTTATGTATAAATAACCAGTACAGAACTGAGTGAGTTCTACAATAAATGTTCTGTTGTCTAATTGTTGCCTTTTTAAGTCAAACTGAAGTTTATGAAATTTGCCTTCAGGTTTTCGGTTGAAAATGAACTTTTGTGTAGCACTCTGGAAATATGTAACATTTTACTCTTTTTATCAGCAATAAAATGTTTGTTTTATATCCCTACATGTACTTTTCTTTAGTTTCTGTCCTTTGGATTCATGTTTTTCACTGTGTGTGAAATGTTTTATGTTGATTTTTATTTAAAAATCTTAACCAAGGATTAGACATTCAAATGAGCCTTTGGCTACACAACCTTGGTACAAAGCAGCACTGGCATTGCTTTCTCATTAAACTGTGGGTGGTTTATTTATTATTTGTGTGTGGGTGTGTGTGTTGTCCTTGTCAAATAAATCATTCATAACACCCCAAGTGCTACTAATTGCACAATATCTTTGCTTAGAACGTAGGCGTTAACTGGAGGCGTTAACTATTTTATAACCATTAACTATTGACAGTGTCATCATTTTTTGTCTATTAGCAAAATATGTCCCAAAAGCCAGAAACAAGGTCAGAGCACTAAGGCTTTGGCTACTGTCCATGGCATCATGTATCTGACTTGTCTGGTCCCCTGGGCAAGGGACAACAATCTCCTGGATCACTTCCGTCCATACAAGTGTTTTGAATCACTCTTTGTCTGGACTGTCACCTAGAACGAATATGGCTTGGGAGACTCTACCAGGGGAGAGCAGTGGTTCTCTTAAGTCTCCCCCAGATAATTGAACTTCTCATCCTCTTTCTAAGGGAAAGTCCAGCTACCCTGCGGAGGAAACTCATTTCAACCATCTGTATCTACGATCTCATTCTTTTGATCACTACCCACATAAAGAGGAGCCAGTTGATGTGGTTTGGGCATCTGGTAAGTGTGCCCCCTGATCACCTCTCTAAGGAGGTGCTTCAGGCATGTCCGACTGGGAGGAGACCCTGGAGAAGACCCAGGACACTCTGGAAAATCTCTCGGTTGGCCTGGGAACACTTTGGAGTCCTCCCAGAAGAGCTGGAAGAGATGTCTGTTCCTCCCTGCTCAAGCTTCTGCCCTCACGACCCGACTTCAGAACAAACGGAAGAAGATGGATGGACAGATGGACAAATGGACAAATGGACGGATGGACGGACGGACGACTCAAAATATCTCAAACCGGATGGATTTAAATGAAGCTTTCAGAAAATGATAATTGGGTGTAAATTTATAACTGATTAACTTTTGGAGTCAACCCAATTTAAGATAGCTGCCACAACCATCTGACTTTAAAAACACACAAAAATGTCAATAAACCAGTTAACCAGTTAGTTTACAGGCATAATGTATACTAAATTTTGGTTGTGGTTGTAGCTGGGAGACCATCTTAGTCTGAAACTATAGCATGAAATGTGATGTGCATTTCTTTCATGAACATTAGGCTTTAACTTCATACACTCTAAAGGCAGAAAAACGGTTTTTATGCTGAGTACTTTCTACATGTCTTTGATTTTATTTGCATGCACTGGAAGCCAGTAAACTATTCATGGTTTTGTGTAAAGTTAGATGGTAGCGGTCTGAGGTCTAATGGAGTCTGAATGACTTGTCACCATCTACTGTTTGCTTTCAGTGTTGCAGCAGAAAGAAAAACCCCATCATTCTCCTCCCGTTTTTAAAAATAATCAGAGAACATTTTATGTATTTGTTGCAGGTTAGATCATAATCATTTAATAAAATTAGCTGAGTATGCATGTAATACCACTTTAAATCATAATTTACATTTATTCTTGATCTCTTTTAGATTCATTGTTTATTTTGAATGCCTTGGAAACCCAAACCTGCCTCATGCCTTAAATGCAGTCAGTAAAACTACACTTAATGAAAACATTTTGTGTCACAAATGTAAAGCAACAAGAAAATAACTGTAAACCAACATGATTATCAACAGAAAGCAACAATATATATGATAAATGTAGTTTTATTGAAAGGTATTTACAAAATGATCATTTGTGACATGACAAGGCAATTAAAACCAGTAAAGATTCCTGCCATCCTGACTGCTTCATGATCACAACTGGGTTGATTTTTTGACTGATTAATAATACATGCTTATTGCTTGTAATAGTTCAAGTAAAAACTTTGGGATCATCATTATCTGTTTAAACCAGCAGCTGCAACAGTTCCAACGCTCGTTTCATCCTGATTATAGAAAATAAGCCGTTAAAGAGGCACAAAGGAAAATGACGTAGCTTCACCTTGAAGGCCTCAGCAGAACTGGAATTTAGAAACGAGCAGAAAACAAACATGTTGAACAATAAAAAAATACAAAAGATTTAACACTCCAGGACAAAGACTTACCTTCCATCGGTTTCCACACTCATTGCACAAAACAAATGTGGTCATCGGCTCGTCGGCGCTCCGTGTCTGTACCTGAAACACACACACACAAACCAAGACATTGTATTTGGACAATAATATACCACTGACTTGTTTACTTCTGCATATATAAATGTCTATGATTATCACTAGATCAGTGATATGTTTGGAACCCACCTGGTTGTAGGTGCAGTTCTTCTTCTTGCACTTGCCACACTGCAGCAGGTCTGTGGTAGTCCCGCCAGTTTTGGCCATTTGGTGTTCACGGATGGCCTCCTGGGTGAGAACGTTCCTCAGCTGTTTCAGCTCATCACTGGCCATTTCCTAAGAAACAAAAAATCACGCATTAACATTAAATCCTCACACAGTGAGCTTGTAAAGGTGAGGCTGCAGCTTCCTGTACCTCAGCAGACATGGAGGCGATGTGGCTCAACTCGATGCTGCCTGCGAGGACGTTCCTGCGAAGCCCCGGGTTCTTGGGGTCCTTCAGGTTGCTGATGCGGCTCCGCACTCTGTTCTTGTATTTCAGGTCGGTGGCCTTTATCTCCTGGTAGATATGTGCGGTCACCCAGTCAAGGCTGAAATCACCATGCTGCTTGTTCATTGGTCTTAAACTAGCACAGATTTGTGAAACAAGCCAGAACTGTTTAGTCAATGAAGGGAAGGAAAGTACAAGTAGCAATTACAAGGTGTTTCCTAGTGTTCAGCGTAAGACAGATCTATTTCTCAAAAAGAAACCCAGTTTTACTTTCAATTTATTTACCAAGTGTTCAATATGAAGCTTAAAAGAGAGATGTGAAACAACCAATATACCCAAGTATTTATAAGAATCAACAAACTCAATAGGGACACCATTCAAAGATAAGATAGAAGGAAGAACTGCTGGGACCGACTTCCTGTTTGAAAACAACAACCCTTTGGTTTTGTCAGCATTTAATACAAGTTTGAAATGGAACAAATCGACTGGATGATGTTGAATGTAGCTTGTAAAAGCTAGAAAACCTTAACTGTTTAACAATAAACAACTGTGTCGTCAGCGTAGAATGTAAGGATGCATCAGGAATGATCTGATCTACATTACTAGTGTAGATTGTGAAGAGGGTGGGACCTAAGACTGAGCCTTGTGGTACACCATTGTTAACAGATAACTGGAGGAAGTACCATTAGGTTGAACACATTGCCTCTGATATGAGAGAAAGTTAGAGAACCAACGAATGGTGTGAGCTGAGAAACCAATTTCTGAGAGCTTCTGAAATTAGAATCAACTCGATTAAAGGATATGATCTTCAATCTCAGCTGCCATGCTGTCGCAGTTTACTCCAAAATCTTTGAAGTCATCTGTTAAGACCAGATCATATCAGATCAGTGCACAGTCAGTTTCAGTGAGTTAAAAGTGCTCTTCGGTCATTGTGGTTTCAGCCTCACTGTCTGTGCGCAGAGCAGCTGACAGCATCTCAATGCATTTGTCTCTAATAGACTCTCCAGTAGCCAGGTGGGGGGGCAGTGGACCTCCAGGAGAACTGAAGCTGGGTGACATTGGGCTGGTTGGCGTGGTGGGAGTTCTGGGGGCTTCAATTCTACTCTTTCTGTAACAAAGAAGTGTGAGAACAAAACAGCTCATCAACCGTATCAAACACAAAAATAGTTATAACTGCCAGTTTTGCAGATCATGAGCTGAATTTGGGTTTTATAGTAACTGAGAGTTATTCGCAACACATACTGAGTACTAACAGATGGTGCAAATTTTCAGAAGATTGCAAGAAATTTCACATAGCGTTATTTTCAAGGTTTGAGCAAAACGGCTACAACTTCATCACTGCAACAAAATATGTTTCTTAGAACTCTGGGAATTAAAGGCAGCGGAAAATACGCTTTATTTCAAGGAAAACTATTTAACATTTAACTGTGCTTGCAACTTGCTACTCTCATCAAAATACCTTTCAATGCTGTCAGTGGAGGGTTTCCTCTGTGGAAGAGCTGACAGAGCAGGCTTAGACCCAGAAGACTCTCTCCTAAACAAAATTAAGTCAGGATAATTTATATTTTCTATGTACCCCATTACACAGAAACATCATTGGTTGCTTTCATTTACCTTTCACCTGTTAGCTTCTTTGGTGATGGTGAACTGCTTCTCTTTGAATCAGTGGATTCACGTCTAAAGAGCGAGACACTTTCAGTAAACTTTGGTTTCATTTGTATTTCATGATGGAAGGTTGTGGTGAATTTCATTCCTACCTGTCAGATTTGGAGTCGGTGGAAAAGCTTCTCACAGGTGGTCCTGGCTTTGAGTCACAGGAGTCCTTCCTGCCACAGAAAACACACATATTTGTGACACTTGAATAATTTGTGAATGAACTGCACAGGCGTGAGTTAATTCTGCACAGCAAGTCTCATTTTCACACCCCGGCACACCTGTGGTTTTCTTTAACTTCCAGTGTTGGCTTTTTGGGAGGAGGTGATTTAGAGTCAGAGGAATCTTTCCTAACAAAAAAAATAAATAAATACAAATAAAAATGTGTATGCTCTTAAACTAAAGCAGGTATAATGGTCCTCTCTCCATGAACTGAAGTCTATGCATGCAAGAGTAATGCAATGCAAAGTTCATGACTTGCCAACCTTTCTCTCTTAGCTTCATCTGAGTGTTTTTTTAGACACTTTGCCATCCACTGAGCCTTTCCTGTAGAAAGAAAACATTTTGATGCCAACATGAGACAAATTGCCCTAAAAGTATGAGTTCAGATCCTTTAAATTGGACTTTTGTGGTTGAGAATCATAGACAAAACCAAAGTGGATTGCTAATATCTTGACTGCGTTTTTAACATTTTTATAGCAGAACATAATTATCTACATGTTTACACCATTGTTTATTAAAAATTACTGGGGTTTTTTTGGACACAGATATTATGATGTCCCAGAACTGTGCCAAGAAAAATGTTCAAGGCCACATTGGAAGCACTGCAGTCAGCTGCTGCTATCTGTGTTTGCTTATAACTGCAAGGTTTATGTGAATAACTATGTAGCATGAAAACAATAATGTAAAGGATCATAAAACTGCTTTCTCATAAGCTATAGAACTTTTCAGATTGACGTTGTTTTCAGATAAAAACAATCCACTATGGTCTGGGCTCTCTGACACTAGATGTCTGGTCAGAATTACAGTTATCTAAGTTTAGGCAATTCAAAAACTATGAAAGATTTAGCAAACTGTTTTACGCCTGATACCCTTCTTGATTCAACCTGGGCTCAGACCTGCAGATCAGCACTCCCAAGACCACAGTGCTGCCCACCGAGTGACCGCATCCCCCCCGTAACGTTTCCACAGAAAGATCTGAAACCACTACTAATTGCCTGCTGTGTTCCAGTTTAAATAAAACAATAAAAACAGATTACAGTCTGAGACAAAAGCAAACATTTCAGCATGAACAAAAAGATATAATCGTTTCCAGATCCCAGACCTGTCTTTTTCTCACAATCTGCAGATTTTTTCTGTGTAGGAGGCTTCGAGTCTGTGATTGACTTCCTGCTGCTGCAAACAACAAAGATTTAATGCAGAGAGGGAAACGTCAAATTAAATATCCTGATTTATGTTCAATATTCCAGGTAGAAAAATCCAACAAAGTTAAGTCGAGACCTCTGGACGGGTTCTTTTTGTTGAAACATTTCGTCTTTCATCCAAAAGACTTCATCAGTCCGAGGAGCTGCAACAAACTCAGTCTTATACAGTAAATAGCACCTTCACATATTGGGCCTACCAGTTTGATGGTGCTCTGATAGTTTCTGGATGTCATGTTCACTGCTCTCTGTCCCCTGCCACACCCACTTCCCTGCCACTAGTCAGTGCTCGTGCCCTACATCAGCCACATGCTTGATTTAAGAGCCCCATCCATGCCAAGTCTCTGCCAGATTATCGAACCCTTTATGGTACTAGATGTCCATCACTTCACTCACGTTCATGTCTGATTCTCTTGTCTTGACCTCATGCCCGTCGTTTGGATTCACCACTCTGCCTACACCTCGTCTGGTTTTCTTCTGCCCTTCTGACTCTGGTAACAACTACTCTGTCTGGCCTGCAGATAATGGATTACAGACTGACCTCTGGATTTGTTTTTGGACCTCTAACTCCCCATGCTTAACCCCTGTTTCATCTTTCGGACCATGACTTTGGATTGCCCCCTGTCAATAATATTCACAACATTAAAGGCCTCCCTCTGCAGCTGCTCTGCCACCAGTTACAGAGACATCATTCCGCCAAGCTCCGACAGGTGGTTCCCACCTCACCTGCCTGAGAAGGTTAGTGGCTGTTCTTGGTTGTCAAACATGCTTTGTGAAACATACAGTCCACCAACTATAATATCTCTGCACATTCGTTCCCGCAGCAGGATCCAGACTCCCACCAGCAGCTGCAAAACAATAAATTGTTTAACCATTCTTTTTGTCTGGCTGAATTTTTTTATCCAAAAATCTTGTCCCTGTCACTGGAAGCTAGTTATAAGACTGAGTTTGTTGCAGCTCCTCGGACCGATGAAGTCTTTTGGATGAAAAACAATATGTTTCAACAAAAAGAAACCATCCAGAGGACCTGACTTAACCTTGCTGGGTCAAATTAAATAGATTTTTCTACACTCTTTCAGTCAGTGACGACATGCAGTCGGTAAACGAGACCTGTCTTTGTCTTTGTTCCCATCCACAGATGGACGCTTTGCAGGAGGAGGAGGAGGAGGAGGGTGAAGATGAAGAGGGAGTGGAGGACATGGAGCGTTGGGGTCAGGAGGCTCTTTTCTAAACACAAACACAGCTTTCAGGTCACCTAAAGCACTTCACGTTGAAGAGGAGTAAATAGCACAGTGTGGGTGGGCATGCAGCGCCTCACCTCAGAGGGGGCGGATGAAGGTGGAAAGGAAGAGGAGCAGCCAGGGCGTTTGGCTCCGCTGGAACTTTCCTGGTGTGCAAAAACGAGCTTTTGTTTGAATCTCTACTTGAGCTTAAACTTATTGTACAAACATGCCACAAAGCACGTCTGACCTCTCCTTCTTGACTTCCTCTGCAGGTGGCTTCACTGGCAAGGAGGCTGGTCGAGGAGTGTGAGGGCAAGGATGTCGGGAGGAAGAGTCTTTAACGTCTTTCCTGACCACGTGCCACAACAGGACAGATCAGAGCATGTGGGGTTCATCACAGCACACCATGCATGGGAGGAACTGAGATGCTGTTAGGTCATGCAGTTAGCAGTTTTCAAGCTTCATCAGTTCAAGCATGAGTCCTGACCTGTCCTTTTTTATGTCCAAAGCTGGATGTTTGACTGGCACCGAAGGCCGGGCACGTCGGGGGGGAGAGGGGAAGTGGGTGGGGTACAGGATACTACTGTCCAGCACGCCTCTCCTGAAAGAAATCATTCAGCCTGAAGCTCTGCAGGAGCTTTGTGAGGAGCGTCTCTGGAGCTGTCTCACCTTTCAAACAGCGGTTTATCAGCAGGTCGTTCTGTCTTCGATTCGCTCCATGTCCTCTCTCGTTGAGGTGCGCCGACCGGCCTCTCGGGCCTGCTTTCCTCTCTGTTCCTGTCCTTCTTCAGGTCTTCATGCTTCCTCAGCTCCTCAACCTCTTTTCTGAGTGGCTCAACAGACCTCATCTTTTTCAAATCTTCTTTCACTGGGTCTGATCGGTGTTTTCCACTCTGCAGGTCCTGCATGCGTCTCTGCCTCTTGTCCACTTGGAGCTTCTCTACAGGTGTCTGCATTTCCTCCCTCGTTTCTCGAAGCCGTTTCTCAAGTTGAAGATCCTTGAGCTGCTTTTCATCGATTCTGGGTTCATCAGCAGGTCTTTTGTTGCTTATGTGGTTGTCATTTTGTGTCTCTCTTCTGGTTTTGTCAGAATGTTGTTTATCAGAATCGGAGTCATGTTTTAGTTTAACATCCAGCATCCTAAAGGAAACAGATTAATTTCATCTGTACCTCAGAGTCAAAAAATGTAATTATTTCTTTTAAACAATACAATTTAAGAAACTTTCAGAATGGACTAACTTGAGCTCTCTTTTACCTTGGAGACCTCTGTAGAAAAATGGACTGTACTTATAAGTAGAAAGTTTCGGAAACAATTTGCAGCCACCACCCCAAATTCCAACGTTAACTGTTAAACATTTTGTGGAAAAATTAAAAAAATAAAACCATAATACTTTACAGAAACCTCGGGTTATTTTTATTCTCATCAACTAAAGATGAATAATATAAAGTTCTAGCTTTACGGAGCGCTTTTTTGTATGTTAGTTGGCTATCTCTCCAGGATAAGTAAGATTCCTCAACGTTAGTTGAGCACCATTTTCGTTCTAGCTTTCTAGATGTCTGTTTTAAAGTACGTAACTCAGAATTGAACCAATGAGCTCATCTCCTCTGATTACTTTTTCATCAGAGCAGCTTTATCGAGTGAAGTTTGCAATGTAGTTGTAAAATTATCAACCAGATGATCTAAGTCACTGCTCTCTGATGTATTACTCTGCAAGACAGAGGAAAACTATGGAAGAGCATCTTTAAATTTGGTTACAGCTATATCAGGTTTGACTTTCTGTGACAAATTTAAAATGTAAATGATGTTTTTAGCGTGCTGTATCCAGAGAGAGCTGGAGTTTTGCACCTATTTGGTCAAAACACCATTGTTTTGTATGGCAGGGTTGTTCTCTTAGGGCAGCACGGTGGCACAACTGGTAGAGCTGCTGCCTCTCAGCGAGCAGGTCCCCGGTTCAAATCCCAGTCCGGAGGTCTTTCTGGGTGGAGTTTGCATGTTCTCTGCATGCATGCGTGGGTTTTCTCCGGGTGCTCCGCTTTCCTCCCACAGACCAAAAACATGCATGTTAGGCTGATTGGTGACTCTAAATTGTCCCTAGGTGTGAGTGAGAGAGTGAATGGTTGTTTGTCTCGTTTGTCTCTATGTGTCCCTGTGATGGACTGGAGACATGTCCAGGGTGTCCCCTGCCCCTCACACAGTGATTGCTGGACATGGGCACCGGCAACCCCTGTGACCCAAAATGGAAGAAGCGGGTAAAAGATAATGGATGAGTGGTTGTTTTCTTTGTGTGTGTATTTCTGGTCCATGTTGTACAATGCTATAAAAAATTATAGTGCACTATACTCCCAACTAAGCTTCTTGTTTTGATTTATTATTAGCATTTTTTTTAAAAGCTGTGGTTTGTTAAAATGAACAAAAATGTGAACAGAACAGTAAACAGGGTGCAGCTTCAAAGTGCAGCTAATTCATGATAAAGCTGCATCGTGCTGCTTAGACTGGCTGCCACACTTCATTTCTGCTGCAGAACATTTTTAGAGCAGGATGGTAAACACTGGCACTGCTGACACATTAATACGAGCCAGTTAGAGGAGAAAAAGTGAGTTTTCCGGAGCTGTTCAGACCTCGCTCCGTCCTTGTGATACGGAGTTTGCCTCAACAAAGTGGCTCTTATCAGCAGAAGCCCCGGCTCTTCAGTTTGACCTACGGCTGTGGAGCTGTTAGAGCTTTTCAAGTGTTTTACAAGAGCTTCAAAAGCACCTTTAAGAGCTTCAGAGATTGAACATGAAGGTAGGACAAAAATAAAAACGACAAAAATTAGAATTTTCCACAAAACGGACGTGGAACTTTGAGTGCGCTTGATTAAACGTGCTGAAACAGCCGAAACTGAATCAGAAGAAAAGCTAAAATTATCTAAACAAAAAAAAAGGTAAAAGCTACGATTAGCAGAACAGTATATATAAGTTAAAGACAAAAAAACAATAGCTTAAAGCTAAAATTAGCTCAAATATACTAAAAACTAAGACCAGTAAAACATCAGCTAAAATATATTTGCAAAGTTGTAACTATGAACCAAAATGAGGTAAACTGTAGCTCAAAGCTGAAACTAGCAAAATAACAAAAAGCTAACATCAGCAAAACAGTACCTAAAAGTAGCTAAATGCCAAATATGAGGCAGTATACTAAACATTTCTAAAAACATGATGGGTTTTAATGATATGAGGCTATTTCAATGATTTCTATAAAGAAAAAAATAGTTAAATACTGTAATTCAAAATGTATAAGTTACTTAAAAAACAAAACAAAGCTGCACTGTCTTGAACGAGCTGAACGTTTTGACATCCGAATAGCTGAAATAGCTAATACTGTGCTAGTTACTGGGCAGCACGGTGGCGCAACTGGTAGAGCTGCTGCCTCTCAACGAGCAGGTCCCTGGTTCAAACCCCGGTCCAGGGGGCTTTCTGGGTGGAGTTTGCATGTTCTCTCCGGGCATGCGTGGGTTTTCTCCGGGTGCTCCAGTTTCCTCCCACAGACCAAAAACATGCATGTTAGGCTGATTGGTAACTCTAAATTGTCCCTAGGTGTGAGTGAGAGAGTGAATGGTTGTTTGTCTCATTTGTCTCTATGTGGCCCTGTGATGGACTTGCGACCCGTCCAGGGTGTACCCCACCCCTCGCACAGTGATCGCTGGACATGGGCACCAGCGACCCCCGTGACCCAAAATGGAATAAGCGGGTAAAGATAATGGATGGATGGATGGTGCTAGTTACTTGTTGTATCCACAAAACAAAGAAAAGAAACTGACTCAGATTTCACACAATCAAATAAAAATAGGACAGTAAAAACAAATACGTTTGTTTAATTGGTGAAAAAAAAAAAATTTTCTACCCTTAATAATGTTATAATTCATTATAAAACATCCCCATGTCCTCAAACTGGTGTTTCAGATTAGCAGCTTAGAACTGATATAAGAAAAGAAAAAAAACTAACATTTTTAGGTCAAGCTGCATAATAGTTGCTCAATGTTTGTGTGTGTTATTGTTAATAAGCTTTACAATACAGGTAAACAAGTTGAGCTCTTTTTGCAGACAGGAAGCAGGTGTGGTGCTCCGTGTCACCTGGACGTGTGTAGTTTCTGTGTGTAACTGACCTGCTGTGTGTCCTAGAGGGTGAGCCGTTGGGAGCTGTAGGCCCGGAGTCCAAACCGTTCCTCAATTCAGACTCTTTGACAGCGCGAGGCTGACCAGGGTCTGTGGTAGACGATTAGGGAGGGGAGTGAGCAAATCTTTAGTATCAGAATGGATTTATTGCACAAATGGTGATTTAATTGATGCGCGCGCGCGTGTGTGTGTGTGTGTGTGTGTGTGTGTGTGTGTGTGTGTGTGTGTGTGCGCGTGCGTGCATGCATGTGTGTGTGATGGAAGAGTAATCGTACTCAGAAGTCTCTTCCAGTCTTTAATGAGGAACTTGGCCAAAGTGATGACCTCTTCATCGGTGCAGTGCTTCCTGATGTTGTTCACAGACATGCCAATCCTCGTCTCCTGAACAACGAAGCACAAAACAAACATTATGAGTTTTTAGCTTTAAGCACAATTTGCTTAAGACAGGAGTTCCCAAACTTTTCCATACCATGGCCCCACACAAGCAGCATTCGCTTCTGGCCGAGGCCCCCCACTCACAAACCCACAAACAATGCTACAAAATATGTAAAGAAACATCAACTTTTAGAATGCTTTAACTTTTAGTCACTGTATTCAATTAATTATTACAGCTGTTGAGCATAAAAATATTAAGTAACATGTTTTAAACACTATTATATTCCCACTGGAAAAAATTTTTTTCAACAGACTGTTGACCAGACGAACAAAACAAAAGAAATCTAACTTCTCTCTCAAGTGTGTTTATCTGGAACTGACAGATACAGATTGCCCTAGTGGGTAATTTTATTATTATTATTACTATTTTTTATTTTTGCCTTTTTTTTATCTTCTTCTATCCAGCTTTCTGCCCCCCCCCCCCCCCCCCCTGGCAGCCCCCACTTTGAAAAACACTGG